CCAAAATGTGTAAAAATTTTGCAGGCTGGAGCGCACTATCTAACTTTAAGCTTTTGAAAATTTTTAGCCTTGGTGGACAGTCCAACGCGAAAAAACCATCTTTGCGAGAAACGATCTCGGCCCTCATACCTGAAACTCCAACTTGAAAGTCATGAAATACGTGAACTTCGGCGTCGTGACTCCAAAATGCGTAAAATTTTGTAAGCTACAGCACACTATCCACCTTTATGCCCTTGCAAATTTTCAATCTCGGTAGATTTATTTAACGCGAACAAACAATCTCTGCAAGAAATAATCTTGGCTCCAATAGTTGAAACTCCAACTTGAAATTCAAAAACATTTGTGAAATTGAGCGTCGCAAATCCAATATGCTTGAAATTTTGCAGGCTAAAGCGCGCTATCCAACATCACGCTCCTGCAAGTGAACACTCCAATGCAAAGAAATAACTTCTGCAAGAAACAATCTCGACCCTAACACTCAAAACTCAAGAAATTTTTGAACTTTGGCTTCATGACTTCAAAACGCATGAAATTTTGCAAGCTAGAGCGCACTATCCATCTTCACACCTTTGAAAATTTTCAGCCTCGGCAGATCTTCACACGCGAAGAAACAACCTCGACCCTAACACCCGAAACTTCAACTTGAAACTCAAAGAAATTCGTGAACTTCGGAGTCGCATTTCCAAATGCGTGAAATTTTGCAGGCTAATGCGCGCTATCCAACTCCATGTCTTTGCAAATTTTCAGCTTTGGTGGACACTTCAACGCGAAGAAAGAATCTTTGCAAGAAACGATCTATGCCCAACACTCGAAACTCCAACTCGAAACTCAAAAAAATTCGTAAACTTTGGGGTCGCGACTCCAAAATGCGTGAAATTTTGCAAGCTAAAGCGCACTATCCATCCTCACATCCCTGGAAATTTTCAGCCTTTGTAGATCTTCCGACGCGAAGAAATCATCTCTGCAAGAAACAATCACGCACTAGTAATATGACATCATCTGCATACAAAAGAGCTTTGATGACAAAGCCTCTAAGTTTGACACCTTCACTGTCACAATCCTCTAACCACCTTTAGATATTATCTATGAAAATTTCAAAGAGAGTAGGAGAGAGAGAGTACATCCTTCAATGACTCAAATGGTACTCAAAATCTCTTCGGTTTGAGAAGTGTTTATCTTGTCCAGAACAGAGTGGTATAATGTGGCCATCATTGCTAAGAGATCTGATGGTATTCCAATGGTTTACAATCTTTGCCATAAAGCTCATGAGGTGATGTGTCAAAAGCTTTCTTGAAATTAATGAAAGCATAAAACAAAGCTTTTCCATTACCCATGGACTTCTCCCATAAAACACGCAAAATCAAGATATGGTCCATAGTGTTGAATGTAGGACAAAAACCAGCTTGAAACCGCGCTCTTTTCTGACAAAATTCAGTCCATGTGCTCAACTTTGACTTCATCAATGTGCAAAATAACTTGGCAAATATACTACCCACCATGATTGGTTGATAGTTTGTCACCAAGGTCTTGCTCCCTGTGTTGTGAATAGGAACAATTTTCCGTACAGACCAAGTTGAAGGAAAGTCAAAGATAACAACATTCTCTAACACTTTAGTGAGTATAGCATCTTCTCCGCACTTGAGAAGTTCAATGGAAATATCATCCTAATCCTCACATTTACCATTTTCCAATTGTCTGAGTTGAATCATCACTTCAGCATTAGAAAATAATTCTGGATTTCCTTCACAACATGGCAATGATGCAACATTGGGAAAAAAAATAAAGTTTTCAGCAAAAGAAATCAAAGACTTGGAATCAATAGTAGGTTTGAAAGATCTTACTACCAACCGCCTCCAAAAAGATTTGAGATTCTCCAACAACTCCTTTTTTAAGCATTCTTGCTTCCGCCTAAAAAAAGTTGTTTCTTAGATTTCACCAAGTCTTTATAAAGTCTTGTTATAATAAGCCGATTGCAAAATTTCAAGTATCTATCAATTGATCTCGCCTTTGCTTGCTTGCAATCAAAGTCAAACCATTCATTACAAGGAAGACCTTTAGCTCTCTTGGTCTAATGTCTCAAAAAAAACTTAGAAGTAGAGTTTTTGAGCAACTCGGTTAGTTGCAAACTAGATGTATGTGGATCAAAGCTCCAAGTAGTACGAGTTAAGAGTTATTGTAAATGTTGACAACAAACTTGCTTCTTACTAGCATCTAAAAAAAACTTGGAGGAAGTAGAAATATAGTGACATGTAGAGAGGGGAACTGTCTTTGACAATCGAAGAGTCATCAGATAAACCCAATAAATCTTGGCAAAATCAATCGTGTTGATGGTTTAATGCAATAAGATCCGATATTTGATGGATTGAATTATTGACATGTGATTGTCTCTGAAATGATTTCATCAAGCAAAAGTGACACGTGGAAGTCTCTAATAGAGACTTCCACTTGTTGCAGTACCCACCTCATTAAAATTGAATTAAACCTCAATTAAGTGACCTCAGAAACATTAGATTAAACCCTAAAATCCAATAAAATCCCACCTGATGTAATCGCGACATGCCAGCCTTGATATGAATCCATATTGAAACTTCTAAATCATTACTACAAGAAAATTTTTTAGAGAAATATTTGTATTTACTTTGACTATGATGATGAAATAAAGCTTATTAATTAATCCTTTTGCTTGTATCTGATTATTGAAAATACAGGATCATTCCTATTAGCATTATGTTTTGATCAAGAACTAGTCTCTGCCATAATGTCGACATTTTTTTCTTGCTATCAATCATTTGATCTGATTGAAAAGGTATTACACTTAATCCCTAGTAAAATCTTTAATGTATATGATTACCATATTCATCACCATCATTAGCCAAAAATATTTTTCATTATCTTATTGATCATTTAACAAAAGACTACAATTCTTAGATTACTATAACAAATTTATTTTGGAAATATCCATTGCATTTTTTTGCATCTGATATGTAGCGTTTTACATTCATTATTGTTAGAGAGCAATGCAAACTCTAGTATATGACATGTAATACATAAATCTATTTGCTAAAATATCATTGATATAATTAATACTTTTCAAGTGTCAATAGCATGCATTGGATATTGAGCTACATAAAACATAAGGTATTTCTCAATTATTTCACTTTTTAAGAATATTTTTTTAAAATAATCAAAATACCAGTTTATTCTTCCAGATTTTTCCAATATTTTTCATTTTTAAAATTGACAGTATTGAAAAAATATCTGTCAATACTTTCAATTTTATTTAAATCTTTCATCTTCAAAGAAAAATGAATTAGTTTTTGCATTTATTGAATGAAAATTATAATTTTGATAAAATAAACAAACCATTCACATAGAATGATTGAAACTGTGGCTAGAACATTAATTTATTTTTATTATTATATAATATAAGCATTGTACAACTTACGATTTCACAAACTTATCAAATCTACAAATACATGATTCGTATCTATCAACAATTTTCACCTCTTATGAAACTGTTTTGTTCATATAAACGGATTATTTACTTTAGAAAATCATAAAAATATACTCTATCCACGAGTAGATACATAATTTATTGAAGTACGCGAGAATAAAATTATGTTTTTCTAAAACAGAAAAATTGTATTATATTGTCACTTGCTTGTGTGTAATTGTTACGGTCAATATGAATTCTTTTTAATTTTTTTTCATGAAATGTATTTTCATCCTTTGTTAGAACTTTTTTAAAAATTGTCCATTCGTTTCATATTGTTCAAAAGATGATTCTTTCAAAACTTCACTAAGTTTACGGTTTTGTTATATATTAAAAATTTAATTTCATGTTTCATCACAATCAACCTATGCTTATTGATAAAAGTTTGAACTTTTCATTAAAATAAATTTCATCCTTATTTAGATATCAACATGGTGATATCATTAGTTTCAAATGCACTATCATGATCAGCCCTATAAAAAATCTTATCAATCCAAACTAATAATCTTCTATTATGTACTTCTTGATGATTTTTGTTAGTTTCCGTGTAGTTCATAGTTTTGAAATTCATCAACAATATAACAATACTTAGCATCGTATTTTCTGTTACAATATATTTGTATGATAGATCATTTTGTGTTACATCAAAATCCAGTTATACTAATCTTATCCCAAAAAGATTACAAACAAAAATAATTCCTTGACATGATGCTCAAACGTCTTTATGTTTAGTAATGATATGGGTTCTTCAAACAAGTTATTTACTTACAATAATCTCACAATATATACAAAAAACATAATCTAAAATCATTCACATCTTTTTCAGATGTAAAGATATAATACTTTTAGAAAGTAGAATCAATCATATTGTACTTCTAATATCATCTAATTAAACGTTCTGAAAAAATATAATCTTTAATCTATTTGTGATTTGTTAAAGGAAAGTTTCTAAGTTTACTATGATATTCACATTATTGATTTAAATCTACTACAAAGTATCAATAAGGTTGAACTTTTGAAAACTGGTTCATTATAATTTGCATGAATTAGTAACTCTTTTAGATTAATATGTTTTTTACTTTTTGTCGTGCAGATATCTAACCTTGTTTTTTAATTTGATCCCTAACTTAGTATGATGTAAAAGTTTCAAATCATATATATTTTTCATATGATCCTTCAGAGTCAATATGTAGTATCAATTTCAATGAATATAATGTTTGAAAACTTTCTTCCCATCTTATTGTTTTCCGATCAAATAGCTCCTTGAAGCGATAATTTTTAGCACATAATAGTATTTCTAATAAATTATGTTAATATTTGTTTACAAAAATTACATGTCATTCATAATTTATGAAAATATATATGACATATTACAGTATAACTTTATAATTAGTAATAACTTTTTGTGTACGCAAAAAGCTCTACGATTTAATTTGTGAAGTACATCCATGTACACTTCTGTCCCTACTTACATGCTTCGTTACTTTTCTTCTCCAACTCCGCTTCGGCCTTTTTAAACAATTCTAACCAGTTGCAATGCCGATATTTCACACAATTTGGGAGGGGTTCATGTGATCATTCAACCTTTCCCTTGCACCTTCTGCCCGAATCAAGCTGTTCCAAAGCTTTACATAGGGAAACTAAACTGCACCTAGTATTCTAAGCTGGTAGTGGCTGCCTATGAGAAAAGCATGTGTACTCAGATCGGCTTTCAAGTTTGTGACAGTGCGGTTAGCAGTGTCAGGTATGGCTAACGACTTAATCTTCTCCACGAGTCATATGATGGATATAAGTCTTAATAGTCCACAACAGACATAACGTGTTGTCGGTTTGTCATGATAATCTGGGTTGAAAATACTTAGAAGCAAATCATAATTTTTCTGAAAAAGAGAAAAAAGCTGCAATTGAATAATACACTGTTAGCACGAAAACTGATCACCTGGGGGTGGCCATGACCGTATTCAACAGAACATAACTATTGATATTAGAGGAACAAACTCAATCGGAATGGATATAACTGAAACATCCGAAGCAAAACAAACGAACTACATTGGAATGAACCTTTTCTGAAAGCAAAATGATTTAAAGTACCTGCTTTGGAGCGATGGCGGAATTTTCATACTGAACGTTTACTCGCTGCATTGCACGAAACGTACCACCTTCAGGTTTATCCCTCATAACATATTGACTAGACTTTCAGTACAATCAAGACAACAGAAGTATACAAGGCGAATCATATTCTGTCTATTCCATTCCATCGTACCATCTTAGAGAGCCATCAAATATAAACCATTACTTTTTTGTCAAAATAACACACTCATAGAACGTAGTTCAACCACTCCCATGAGGAATACGTAAGGCCTGCAGGGCTGTACCGTTGGGGATCCGATGGTGTAAGAAGCTTCGACAGTGAGTGCACCCACTCAACATGCCAAGCCGTGTCACATTAAATCCTATCTTGTTGATTGGTCTCCTCTGCCTTGACAATGTTCACAAAACAACCTGTTTGCGGTTTCACAAATCGGTCAACTTTCCGACAATTTCAAACGGGACGATGCTGTAAGATTGTTGGAAAAGAGGGAGCTCAGACTAACCTGGTCCACATCAATAATCTGGAGAAAGTCCCTCAATGCGATGAAGTCTCTGAGTCCTAGCTTTGTTCGTTTCACATCCAGAATGGAGATGGTGCTGTACAGGAGCCTCCATTCACCTTTGACCTTGCACTCTTTAGTCAGACTTTATTTTCAGATTCACACAAATGGCCACTGACTCAGCAAGTGAGATTAACACTTGCAATAAAACAACAGAATTTTTGCTAAGCAGGATCCATTTTGCTGCTCAGGGGATTGTGTCAAACATTTGTGTTCAATCATGATAAGCTGGACAAAGTTCTGAAACATTCCATTCTACACCAAACCGGCAGTTTAGAGTGAGTGGGGGTGTACCAAATCGAGGTTTTCTGTGGGTCTTGCACAGGGATTCATGCCCACCAGTGTTGACCAAATATCTTCGATCTCGGCTTTTCTCGGAGCAGGAACCCCAAATATTCCTCTATTCATTTCTGAACGCCACAATGGCAGTCAATCACACTGATGTACAGCACGTCACATACCGTCCGAGACTCTTAATCAGCAAATTGGACCAGTCATCCAGCTGCAGTAGACGAGGACAACAGCAAGGTGCTGTTGAAAAAACGCGCTGCGCTTTGATCCATCATGAGCTGAATGAGAATTAGAACAACGGTGGTGCTCATGGCCGAGAGACATATTAGCTATTTGAGATCGCTACGGACTCGATGAATCGCGTACAAGAAGAAGAATGAAATGTGAAAAGGCATGGAGAACTAGTAGGTTACAGGCGGATGGTTTCGAGAAGGTTATGAACGCAGAATTTTGATCACCCAATCGATTCATGACAAATGAATGAGAAGGAAGGGAAAAACAAGACTGCACGTCTGTATGAACGTGAATGATCATTCATGGGCCTTGGCTCGACGTCTGAGTTCAACACTCACGTCTGCTACGTTTCACACAGACAGATGCCGTCAAGAGCCTTCATGCCGGAAGAGTTGATGAAGGAAGTTATTAGTTCGGATTTTATCATGGTGAATGCACAAACTCAAAGGACACCAAAATGTGGACCGGGCGGTGGATTCGTCAACCCAGTCGACAGCGAATCCCTCGGTGACAGCATACGAGAAACGAGATGAGAAGGAATTCCTATTTCCCACACCTTGCAGGGCGTGCAGAAGGGCCAATTGACATCCTGCAAGGAAGCAGATTCCAGGGAAGCTCCATCGGCATCTACCTGACAGGCAACCCTTCGATAGCCGCACCTCTTCGCACGCAACGTCAGCTGCGATGGCGATGGCGTCCTGAAGGTGGTAGTGGTGGATCTGCAAGCGACGCTTCTGCTTCTGCTGCCGCAGCACTCCGTGTCCCCCTTGCCAATGCCAGCCCACCAACGAGCCGTCGAGGAAACCGCAGCCGCAGCAGCAGCAGCAGCAGTGGCAGCCATCCTCGCACACTCGCAATCCGCAGTCAGTCTATCGATCCTCCGTCGTCTCGATGCTGCTCGCCCGAATCAGACCGGGCTCCCATGAACAGCGAGCGAGCGAGCGCCTGCGATGCACTCCCCCTCCTGGCGGGTACCCAGGGGAGGGGAACGAGCGACCAGACCCGAACGATCCTCCACTCCCCAGCCCATGGAAGGAAAAGTCCACTCCGACTGGATAAAATCGGCCGTTAGCGACGCCGCAGCAAAGTGTCCTTTTCCCGCCGCGTGGCACTTGTCCTCCCGCAACCGACAGCTGGACGTCGCCCGTCGCCCGTCACCCGCTCTCGTCGTCCTGCCCGCTCTTGGGCCCCCTGTCTCTCTCTGTCAGTGAGCGGATGATGAGGGGGTGAGCGGTGCAACCGACCGTTCCCACCGAATCTTCATTCCATGAGACTGACTCCGTGATTCTTCTGTTGACCGTCGATGCGAGAAGCTTGGTTGAAGAAACGGCACTTCTGCTCTCCGAGAGAGACCGAGTGAGCTGAACTCTCTAATTTCACCGGGTTGCACAAAGGTTATGGTGTACTGTACGTACTCATTATCATCTTCATTTTTCATTTTAGGCATGCTGAATGGAACAAAGTGTCACTTGGCTGCCGATTTGGAGTGCAGAGTGTAGTTACCCATTTGTCACTGATGATGATGTAATGTTTGTTAAAGCAAGACGGTAGGGATATCTCACAAATTCGTCAAAATCTAGATTTTGACGCATCTGCATGTGGTTAGACAATGTCGTGTTATGGTTACAAGTCAATTTGCCGAAAGAATTTCACAAGAGTTGATTATTATCTTCTTCCTTGATGTGTAGTAAGTATATAGCCAAGACCTCCAATCATACAAAAATGGAATGCAGCGATTTAGAATACTCTATTTCTCTGCATCAGATATATCCACCTTCAAGGTTAAAATAATCTGTCACTAGTGGTATTGAGATATGGTTAAATCATCTTATACATTAATGGGAGTTGATATGAGTACTTGCCATGGAATCAACATACATTATCACATTAATACTCTTTTATATATGTGTATATGTATCTATTCTTCAAAGATTAAAAATTATGGTGCACTTGATACCAAAGCTAAACCTTCGGTCAAATTTCGATGTTATGTACATAACAAGTGTTTTTTTGGATTACATAGTTTATCAAATTCTGTACAGACTCAAAGTTTATTGTCGTCCATTTTCTTATACTATTCAGTATCTATTTTGAGATTCAAGACCATCAAATGTATAGACCAGACTTTATCTGTGTCCCGATTTCTGTTTTTGGAGGCTTCAACATAATCGTATTACTTTATGACTTTTCACGTGTTGTATTGTTTATGGAAGATAAAGCAGAGGAATCTGAGTTGCAAAGTGACATATTTGCTGTGATGTTATTATTGCTAGCTCCATATTGTATAACGAGGTTTGATCCATGCACGACCTGACGGAATGTTCTCATCCCTCTCGTTCGTTGTACTTGTATGAATTGTGAAAAGTGCCTCCCCTGCACGGCGTTCATAATCGAACCCTACTCTTGGATAAGAAGCTCTATGTACACATACAATGAATGATATCAAGTCTCCACATGAGAACTGAAAGTAGAGTTCGTCAGTGTGGTCACTACTACAAGAATAGGTTTCCAGCATAATGTCAACAGACACTCCTGTATGCACAAATAGCCTATGAAGAAAAAATTCGTACTAATTTAAACAAACGCTCTCAGAGTTGGTGTAAAAGTCCACAGTTGATTTTCATCACTCAGGACCAACCATTCTGATAACCATGTGAATCTCTTATCGTCATCCGGTTCATTTGGCTTGTACACGAGCACTCTCGAAGAGATGTCATGAGCCCTCTGATGCCTGTGAACGATGTAGAAGTTGTCACCTTCCGCAAGGCACCTATACGGAAAAACCTCTTTCCAGCAACTCTCTGGCTTCAATTTATGGTCGAGGTTAAGGTCAACCAGATCTTCATCCATGAGTCTGATCTCAGCTCCGAAGTCCTCGATCACAAAATTGCCGATCCCTTCGTGACAATCTTCATCGGTCCAATCACACAAGATAACTTCCCCCCTGTATCCGACAATGTGAAACTCCGGAGAGTAATAACATAAGCTCGACTCCTGCAGAACATCCCAGGTCTCCAACACGACGTTGAATCTCAGCAGCACCCCATTTACTGTAAGACTGTCATGATTCTCGTAGTGGATGAACCAATACAGGTTATCTGCACAATGAACACCCCTTTTCCTGCATCTCCACTCGCCTCTCGGTAGGCTGACTCCGGATTCTTCCAGATAGGTTTTCAATTTTGGCACTCCTGGACACACCTTCCACAAATCTAGCTCAGAATCATATATAAGGGTTGGTTGTGGCACATCCTGTCGTATACCTGATACAACCACTTGATAGTTTCCAGACTGTCGATCCACCACCATCCCGAACAAGATGTACACAAAGGGACTCTCATATAATGCTCCCTTGGGAAGTGTCGGGAGCAGGTCTATGGGCAGCCTTATCCCTCTCAACTGCTGGGACAGTGGATTGTACACAACACAGCAGTCTGGCGCTCTTCGGCTGCTAAAGCACAGAAGACCACCATCTGCGGCTACCAAGGTATCGGCCTCGACGTTGTCCTTCACGGTGAAGGGGATAGGCGCTTCCTTCCATTCATTCGTTACCGTATTGTGGAATTTCAAATGCCACTTATTAAATTTCGCGGCCTCCTTCCACTGCAAGTTGAACTGGTCCCCTGGCGGATTGTGACCAGGATGATTATAGAGGAGCACAGGTTTGCTAGACTCGCAGAGGAGAGCTAAGGGAGGAGCCTCGATCGTGGATTTCCACTGTTTGCAGACCTCCCGACAGCGCATGAGGCTCAGAACTGGCAGCTTTGCCAGAATCTTCCAAACAATTTCCGGAGGCAAATCAGGCATGTCCTCGCTGCAGTCGTCCTCCGTTCTTCGACGACTAGGCCCCTTCACCTTAGTCTCCTCCTTGTATCCATGACGTCGGTATTCCATATAAAGCCTCTGTTCCATTTCCAGATGAAGCCTCTGTCACTAAGCTCCCCTGAGACTCAAGATGTGCCCAAGGAAGTCTCCCAGATAGCCACTGAAACACGCACATGATCCCATGAATATGATATACAAGCCCTGAAACTTCAACTCATGGCTCCTATTCCGACATATTGTTTCGACACCATCGGAAATCAGGAGCACAAGGTGTTTCTATAACTGATCGAAACTGATTGACTGACTTTCTCTAAGGACATCTAGACATAAAATCTTGTCAGTTTGTGGGGGCTAGACGGACGTCGGCCAACAAGCAAACAACTGTATCACAGCGCGATAAGAACTACCCTCGTGCTGCAGGGACAAAAATGTGCGCTATTCCAAACTTGGAACTGCATTTTGCGGTCACGTAAAATTCCTTGAAGGACTGGAGCTGAATTACGATGTTTTGTCTTTGGAGGCGTTGGAAAAGACTCGATATCATACAGCAGAAAAACAAGGCAAGAGAAAAAGGATTTTATTAGATTCACAGGACGACGCAATTGCCAATGAACATTTCTTCTCAGCGGAAGAAAAGGCATTCACTGCCAATGCTTCGCGATACAGAAATATCGCGAAGTTTGATACACATGGATCAAAACACTCGTTGATCGGTCAAACAACTTGCAGATGTGAGACCAGAAAGAATTTCACTTAATTACAACATATCTCTTGCTTCTGCCACTCGGTAGCCACAGAACAGTCTTAGCAATGAGGCAAAAAGACAACGAGGCATGGAAGCTGCTGTTGATTCTGATTTGGCCGGAAGTCTCTTTTGATCCAAGCAAGGCCAGACAACTCTTGCAAGCTCTGTGAAAGGAGATGTCGAGCATGTGGGTACAGGAGGAGTATCATACCTGAACAAGAAGACGATGGCGATGGCTAAAGGCGAGCAGCGATTTCGTCACTGGCAAACGATTAATGTGCAGGGGCCAATGATCGGCAATGCGATTTCCAGATCCAGTCCCACGCTTGAACAAGACGACAATGGACCATCGAAGCAATCCTTCGACGGCACCACAACAGCAATCTGCAGACTGAAGGAGCCACCACAAACTGCGCCTTCACGCTTGCGATCCGAGGAGATCAAATGTGCTTCTTCCTCTCCTCTTCGCTCCGCACAGAACAGGGGGCCGAATTACTGGTTTACCATTCTGTCGTGCTGTCCAATCCACCGGAGGATGGTCCGCTGGACGATGCGCGAAGAGGCAATGTCTACGGGCCTGTTGAATCATCATAATTATCACAATGTCTGCGAGCCCCAACGCATCCGACCCGAACCCCAACCTAGACGATCCCGAGTGATCTATGCACGGATCAAACATGTAGGACGTCATGAGTACAGTCGCATGCGTGTTGTGAATTCGTGAATTGCCGCTAGTCGTGAACCATTGGTGTCGGTTTCTGCTGCCAGATTTATAACCTCCTCGTGTGATAGGAGAGCAGGTCGAGCAGCCCGCTTCCGAAGTAGTTAATCTCTTGCATACTTTGATACCTTTTATTAATGTGCACGCATCGACCCTCGATCATCATTGCCCTTCATTCAGTTTTGTGTCTCTCCTCATTCCTTTCGGTGAAAAGGCGCATTATTGGTTCACTTGGCCAAACCGTTGGATTAATGAGTGGTTCACTTTGCCAAACCGTTGAATTAGTGAGTGATTACGATCATGTCCTTCCTCGATGATCATTGTGACCTTTCCTTTCCTTTCGGTGGGAAGGCGCATTATTGATTCACTTTGCCAAACCGTTGGATTAGTGAGTGATTACGATCATGTCCTTCACCTGTTTTAGGGTTCATCCCGATGGTGTCTGAGTCCACATAATTAAATGGGGTTTAATTAGGTTTTAATGAGACGTCATTATAATAGTATAATATTTTATTATATCCACGGCGTATCTCCCTTTTAGAGCCATTCACGATCAGATCTCCTATCATAGACGTACACGTGTCAATAAAAAACCCATTAAAGTTATTGAATTAAACCAATGTACTTTGGAAAAAATTAGTGGTTTTTTCCACCCCTGCCTCCACCTCGTTATGATGCGTTGCCAGCCCAGGAGCCGGAGGGTTGCATTGAGAGGAGATGATGGTCACGGGAGTGGCTTTGACAGTACACACAATCCTGCATTTGCACATCTGGGCTCATGATTGCGGTTCTACCTCGGGAAATATCTCTTCCCCTCTCTAGAATCCTCGTTACGGTTGAAGCTTTTAACTCCTCCTGATCTTCTTCGAATTTCGGGTTTGACGACCAATGTATGTGGTGCAGCGCGAAAGCCCCCGTTCCAGGATACCGAACAAAGATTCCGGCGGCTCCTGATGCTCCGGCTTCGAGCGTGGCCGCCTGTCGGTTGGCGGGCGATCAAGCAATCTTGCGGTCTCGGGTGCTTACACAAAAGCTTTCAAGGTTGGGGTGAAGGTCCACAGCAGATTGTGTCGGAGATTGTCGTGTCGGAGATCCTCCCAAGCTGATAAGCAGGAGAATTTTTTTGCCGGGGGGCTCGGACTGTCTGTAGACCAGCTCTCGGGGATGTGGCAGTCCAGATGATGCACGTGGACGATGTAGAAGGTCCCACCTTCGGCCACGGCCACGGCCACGCACTTGATGGGCAAGAATTGCCTCCAGAACTTCTCGGGCTCGGCATTGTGGTACAGAGACACCAGGCCGTAATCCATGAGCTTGATCTCCTTGCCCAAGTTCTCGCTCGAAGCCTGCCAGCTCCCCGTTCGAGATCGAATGTGAACGTCGGTTGGGGAATTTCTGAGGCCAGCCCCGATACGACCACCTTATAGCCCGTGTCACGATCTGCCACCATTCCCAGCATGAAGCACGGGAACGGATTGCCCCGGTGATCTTCCGAGAAGACTGTGGGCAGGAAGCTCGCGGGGAGCGAGATCTGTCTCCACTGCTGGGAGAGAGGATTGTACACCACGATAGAGTTTGGGCTTCTCTTGCCGTTGAAGCACAGAAGCCCTCCGTCCGCAGCTAGCCAGGTGTCGGGTTCGACGGTGTCATTTCCTATGGCGAATGGGAGGTGGTGCGTCTCCCATTCCTTTGAGACCGTGTTGTGGAATTTGAGATGCCATTTTCGCCATTCTCATGCAAATCTGCCCTTTCCCTTGCCAATGTGGCGAACATTGCATGAGAATGGAGATGCCATTCTCCATTCTCCAAAGGGTAACAGTCATCTCCACCCACACTGACCTCTCTCAGCTCATCACTTCCTCTCAAAATTCGGTCCACCCGTCCTCTCCTCTGAACCTGCTGATCCAAGCGGTGACGTGATTTCTCACATTAACAATTGCGAACAATCGATATCAACTGTGAACCTTCCCAGCATGCTCGAGGGTGCGAACAATCGATATCAACTGTCAACCTTCCCAGAATGATTGGCGACAATGGTAAAAAATGCAATGGTAAATAGGTCAAAAGGCTAAAAAATGCAATACAAACAAATCAACACCAAACTAGAGAGAACCAAAAGAACCCTAGCTACCTGATAGGTAACCCCAAACTAATAATAATTTTAATGTAACAACCTAAATCATAATTAATAGGTAACCCCCGAAATTAATAATAATTCTAATATAACAACCTAAATCATAACTAATAGGTAACCTCCGAAATTAATAATAATTCTAATGTAACAACCTAAATCATAACGTTATGAATCGCTATTTCATTTCAAATCATTCCTCAATTGAAACTCTACCTGCAACTCTAGTCGAATTTCGATCAACTTCTTAGAAACGGTTGTACCTTATGTGACACGAAGACTTGACTTCCAAATCCATCGCTTATCAACACTGGACGAACCAACTGCGCTCATCAAGTCACCAGTACCTACGGAATGTGGGTCTCCTTGGCATCCTGCGTGCTCTGAGAGTACGTGGATCTTCTCTTCTTGTTGATCATTAAAACTTTAACGATGACTCCAAATTTTGATCTCATAAAATGTGCTAGCCATTGAAAACTAACAAGCGCAAGAATTATTAGATTCTGTTTCTTCGCGTACTATGGGGATTGAGCGCGTACTAGAGGGAGGGAGGGACGATGAATTGCGAGTTCTGAGCTGAAAGGTACGAAATCTCTTACCTTTGATTGAAGTCATCGAGAGGCACTTCTTCCAACCTCGAAAGAGTACGACAGCGTTAGCTCAAGGTTAATTTCTAAGCGCATAGCTTCGTAATCTCAATCAGCGCCTCTTAGTATAGTTTTTTTTAAAAGTATATTTGAGATGAATTTACTTTAAATTTACCATTAAAAAAATTTCGGGGAATTTTCTGCTGACGGAACGCACGAGTAATTAGAATCGTACCAATATCGGATTCAGTATCATATCATTGGAGCCTGTACATATTTGAACACTTTAAAAATTGTCCGAACTTTTGTAGAACGCTAATCGCTGAACCAGATGTTCCTTATGAGATGGGCTTCGAAAGCATGGACTTATCTCGGAGGAGTAAAGCTTCGTTCGCAGTGTGTAAGTATACATGCAAAATTGCTCTTTCCCTTGCCAATGTGGCAAACAGCACCTGAAGAAAACCAGAATGGAGTTGCGGACCCCAAATTGCTCCACACGTGCAGCTTTTGAGGGCTTCTGGTTCAGAGCAAGTTCCGATGTTACATGTTACACACACGCACCCTGTTTCAAGCGGGCTATTGAGAGCATATTTACCAAACATTAAGCTTTTACTCTATCACCAAACAAGCCTTTGTTTTGTACTCTAGGTGCAGGGAGAGAGATATCAAAATGGGAAAATATCTCTATATAGGTATTACTTTTACATGTAATAAGTCAATAGAAACACATTGATATGTACAAAAGTGATTTGATTTTGATAACAAAAAAGTAAATAAAACAGATGTATAATTTGATTCTTGTTGAGACTCTATGATATCAAATGTTGATTATGGGATCAAATTCTTATGCAATGAAACTAACCATGTATCCAAAGTATTTTCATGTTCGTTGATTTCTCTAGTTTCAAATAGATTCTACCAAAATAAACCCTTGAATTTTTTTAAGAGCATTACTCTCATGCTTTCAAGTCTCTACAATTTTGATGATACCCGCCATCTTACAAATTGAATGTGCACTATATACTTTGTTGCAGATTGAACTCTTATGTTTCACATCAACACACTCAACCTCTTGGATTGTTAGATTGATGATTGTCTTTTGCTCCGAGTGATAATAGTTTGACTATCATATAGATAAACTACAAAACCTATATCTTGAGCTTCTTTGACTATGGTAAACTCTTTACTTCAACTTGAAGAGATGTAAGATCTAGATTTAACTAAATCTTCCGTACCTTGAGAATTACATTGTTAGCTAAAGCAATATCACATGAACTTGATCCATATATTTAACAATAATAGCACGAGATTGTGCTACTTTGTTGCCAATAAAAAAACTTGAGTCAAATTCGGATTAGAAACATCAATTGTTTCGGTCAAGAATTTGATGACAACACTCTTCACCTCTTCTTTCTCGAATTCAAGTAAATTAAAATAATTACATTTTTTTTACCAGCTAATTGATTAGTCTTTTCAATCTTTTGCTCTTGACAAAAAAAAAAAATATAAACAAACTTGATAGCTTCAACATAAGACTTTATTTTCGCCTTTAGACTTTCAACCACTTCATACAAACCAGGAGTAGCAGAAATAGAACCTTGAGAATCAAACTTCTCTGGTGTGTTTTCAACATATGGAGAAATTTCAAGCATGATCTTCTCAAAATTTATGTGATAAATCTTTAGGGTTTGTCACATAAATTCCCGGATTTCATTTTTTGCAAAAATTAAAATAACATTTTGTACCTTGAATTTCTCGCAAAGCGCTTTCAATTATTCTAAAACTGTTGGCTCAAGATTGAGTAGTTTGTTTTCAGAAGCCATCATGAACTTAACTTTTACAAGGTTTTATACAAACTCAAAATTACCAATTGACAACTTCTTCAAAAGCTACGTTCAGTCTCAAATTTTGCAAGCATGTACGCTCGGCCAAAGTCAACAACTCCATCAAATTTCGACTGTAGTTGACATTCCACCTTGAAGATATGGCAATCGCAAGATCTAGCCTCCAAAAAATTAAACTCAAAGGTATGAATTAACAAATTCTTCAAAAAGGTTTCGTTGAGTTTCAAATATTGTAAATATGTGCGTACTGGTCAAAATCAATAACTCTGCCAAATTTAATTCCTAGTTGACACTCCACCTCAAAGATATAGCAATCGCAAAATCTAAGCACCAAAAATCTAAACTCAAAACTCCGAACTAACAACTTATGTAAAAACAAAACACAAATTCATTTCACAAAATTGAGCCCATGTGCTCAATTGATCTCGCACTTGCTTTCTTGCAATCAAAGCCCATTGCATTCCATTGCAAAAAAGAACTCTAGCTCTTTTTTACCACTTTTGTTATATTATGGACATTATTAGTTATCGTTCTCTAACGCTTTTGGCACTAGTTAGGGATTAGGCTTTGGGATCATTTCACTGTTTGTGGTTCTCAGATTTTTGATATTGTGGATCTCTGGGCTTGGTCTATTAACATTTATCATTTTAATATCAATAAAAAGAAAATATTTGTTAAAATTTTTCACATTTATTGTTGTTTTTTTCATATCATATTGAAATTTTTCAAAGAACTATTATTCATATGAATAATATTTCATATACACCATCTACTAAATTAGAACTCTTCTACCTAAAAGTACTTTTTTCATGATATGGACTCAAACACGATTGTTAAAATTATGTGATACAAATAACCTCAAATAGATTACAATTATTTTGTTTATTTAATGTTTTCAGATTTAAAACCATATTTCATTGTCTAATAAAAAGCAATAATAACTTTCAAATGTGATTTTAAGAAAATCAATGATTAACAATATCTAAGATCCTGTTTAGGAAATCAGTTCTTGCAAAATTAGTTGAACTACATCTAAAACGTAATTTATGATATTTGACACAAATTCTTATCAGAAATGAAAAGAATTTACAAGTATGTTTCAAACATGCACCGATATGTAGTGTTTTGTACACAATATGTAAATAATCTTTCATACTTTTGTAAAAATCTGTACTAATTAATTTTTTGTACGAAAATTTGAATCTCTTTATTGTGATACTACATTAACATTCTACTATATTTACACTACAATATTGAGTTACACATAAATGAGATATAATCAAATCTTTATCCATTTTCATTAACAAAACGAGGCATTTGATATTAATTTTTATTTGAAAGTTTTGAATATAAATAAAAATTTAGGGTTCAACACCAGCTAAAAGTCCTTCAATTTTATTTTGGCTTTTGGGATACTATAGTACAAGTCGTTACATTCCATGTGCTTTGCAATCAAAGATTATTCTCCGGCATAATGAAATTTAAGAGTGGCCTAACTTAATGTCACACACACATGAAAAGTAACAATGTACATAATCTTACAACCCACGGTGTTTCAATCCTGAAACAAGTGAGAAACTGCTCCACACGGAAACTACATGCAATTCCGACTTAAACTCATGTGTTCCACTAGAGATCAAGATGCTTGCGGGGCGGGCAGTGCGTAAGTTTGAAGAAGATACTCAACAATATCTGCACTCTCAAACATTTGTACGCCGGTATTGGGATCCTCAAGGTAAGGAACCTGCGTATTATGAGCGTGTTGGAAGATAAGTCCCAGTACTATGACAAAGGTAGTAAGCTCACTCACTCATCAAGCTCAAACTACCTTCCGATTTCTCAGCACATCTAAGCTTAAAAGATGGAAGCTATAACAAACATATTTCGGGATATCGATCAAGTCACATGCAGCTGGGAAAATGAGGAGTGTCTCGAATTCGAGTATAATAATTGAATGTGAATATTAGCAAGATTGTTATCTTGCTAGAATTCACATCCAAATATTCTACTCGAGTGTGACTATTACACCACTCATTATTTCGACATATCCATTAAACTTTTCATGAGTGTACAGGGAGCACGATGTGAATTGTACCTGAAAATGACCACTCCTCAACAAAAGCTCATCCCTCTTCGTACTCCCCCGGGCCGTGCTGCATAAAGGAGTGTTAGTATGTTTGGCTTGTGATGTGTTTTTCAGCCTTTTGACCCTTTGTGTTCCACGAACTTGATCTATTTACCATTTGCATTTAGTAACAGTTTTCTATTGTTCTGATGCATCTTACTACAAAGCTATTCCATATAACTGAGACTTTGACTATTTTCAAGGCGTCCATAAGTCGAAACCAGGCGAAATGTAAGTTTTGACTCGCATATCTTACGAATTAGCGAAATAATTGACATTGTTTACTAACCTGTAGTAGTAATGTGGTAACTCAAGCTCCACCAACGTCTCTCTAACAATCTTACAGAAGGGCGACGGCTGCATTTCACATTCAGGACGACATGAAATCACTACAGTGGATCTTTTAAACGATTGACAACTGAGAAGACCATCAACTTCCCGCACCTACAAACAACGTATTGGTAAAATAATTCAAATAACATCGAGTCAGACTCCGTTGATTTCATAATTAACCACAAATAAAGCACCTCATATGCCCACAGCCTTAAGGGCTCTGCAGGTAGTTGAGATGGAGTGTACTTTCCACCCTGCGTGACAAACAGTTTCAAACTTAGTGCATTTCTTAGGATGAGGTAGGTCTAGAGCCCATCAAAGTCCGGCCGAGAGATGAGCCCATCAGGATAGTAAAATAAAATTACAACCAGTAATTCAACTACGACAAGCCCCGAGGGTTAGTGATAGAGAAGGATATAACACCCTTTTTCTTTGAAGCCATTGCAGTTGTGGGTGCTGCACGTATGCTTACAAGAAGTCCGATTTTTAGTTGCCACTAGAAACGCATACACGTTACGTAGACTCTAAAGGGTTTGTCACGATACAAAGCTGAAATATAAATCCCAAAATTTGAATACAAGGAACAAAGGACAACGCATTAGTGAATGAAGGGATACCAGAGATTTGCAAAACACAAAATGAACTGATCTGGAACTTTGTGCTGCTCAGATCTTAGATAACTGGGAAAACACCAGATTTGTAGAAATTAAAAAAAACTTGAACTAACGGTGACGAATCATCTTCATGTTATTTACCATAAGGTTGATGTCATGAAGTATCTAGTGTTTTCTTTCTGAAAAAATTTCTTGAGACCATGAACAAAAATGGTTCCATTCAGTATGTGTATATATTTATCATGTAAGTTCTGTCGTTTTTGTGCCCTGATATTGACTTCAAGATTTTTGGCCTACCTTTCCTGCTCGACCCAACATTGCAAGTCCAGCGGTGATTGTCTGCAAGGAGGAACAATGCAGTCCAAATTGTGTCAGCGACCTTATCGATTTACTGACTACGGATGCTGTCTCGAGATCCAGAATAGACGGCCACGGTTGTCACTTGAAAACCGAGCCTTATGGCCGGGACCATCCTCACAGAATTCAAATCACAGAAGCTGGTTGCTGAAATCTGAGCTTCGAACATGGCGCGGACAATCACAATCTGGTTAAAAAGTTTATCCTCTGATTAGAAAGTTCGCTTTTGTAAACATAATAATGAGGCATGCTCTGCATACGTAGGATGTGATATTTGAAACAAAACTTACAGTAATAGGTCCAAGTGAAAGTGCTAGTGGAACATTTCCATCACCTGCAAAAGCCAAGATATTTATAAGTAAACTTCTCTGGGCAACGGAGGATGTGACCAGTTAAAACTAATCGAATTGTACATCAAATGACCTACTTCAGTTCGAGGTATATTTGAGGCTCAATACAGCAATGATGAGCTCCAGCTAATATATATAATCTGCACAAAATACTTTCCAATTATAATGTACGCCGTTTACTCACCATAGTTCTCAACCAGATACTTAATGATGTCGTCTGACTCATACATTGATACACCAGTGTTCGGATCGACCTGCAAGAGCGGGCAGCTAAGTCAGACTGAGTTGGGACCGTCATAATGGTACAAAGCCCAGTTCGGCATAAATCTTTCGTCCTAATCTGCACTCCTCCTTTAAAAAATCTGACGAACTCCCCATTACATAATATGAGGGTTTGCTTGCAGAAGCATTTGACGTGTGTTTCAAGATGATGAGAGCAGGACCTGAAAAGCTATGCCACGACATATCAGCTTATCCAATCAAAGCAAAGCAGAGGACTAACTTAAGGGGCTAAATTCAAAGCTTTGAAATTGGCCCCTTCTGGTCTGCAAAATTTCAGCTATTGGAGTTGCGATCAAGACCCTCGTCTTCACAAGAACCATCCTGTGAAAATCTACGCAACATTTGCAGAATGATGTAGTTGTAATACGCTCAGTAGACGTTCATATCGATATACCGCAAATGGGAACCCATTAACAAGAAGGAAAAGAACTATGACAGGCAACACATTAAAGTCCAGTATATTTATTTATTTTCTATGACATGTGGCAAGACTGGGTGAAAACACCCAATACTTCCGGAGGAAAAGTGACTGACGATTCGATGCGTTTCAAATAACCTTTAAAACAAAGGAAAAAACAATCAAGTTGTTCCTTCAGAAACCACTGACGAGGAATGTTGCATACCATATAAGGAAATTGCTTCTTTCCTCCCATTTTGATGGCTTTTGGTCGAAAAGTTGTTCCATTTTTTGGTGTGGGATAATACAGAACATCAAGGTCCAAGACTGAAACAATTTCTCGCACCTATTGAAGTTTCCAAAGCACGTCAGGATCACACAAATTCTCATTTCAATGACATTTTGCTAAATTCGCTGCCTGAACAACATCCTCGTTCACTGTACAAATCTATGAAGAAAGACAGCTCTATGTCGAAGTTTACAACCAAATGTGCCATTCGATTTGATATAGAGCAATTAACAGCACCGCAGTACAGTCCTCACTCGCCTCGATTCAAGACAAAGGACTCGTTCTTAACAAGAAATCCATTATGGTCTAAATTACTAACGAATAGATTGATCCGCCTACCTTGCGGCAAAAAGGACAGCTGCAGAGTGATGGTGAATCGAGATGATTGCACAAGACGAGAGACATCACACACTGGCATCAATAGACAGAACACGATGTATGACATGTCATAGACACAATGCAACATAGAAGATATGCATATTGTTTAGCGCATGGGCCCTAACGTGTATGTGGACTACACATAAACAGGTGCTGCCTTGTAGTATTTAATCCACGTGGTTTCATCCAGTTCTAGTTTTTTTTTAGACTCAAATCTTCCTTCGATCACCATGTTCACATTCTTTCCACATGTTGCAAAACCAGAGATATGGAGAGATCAGATTCGACAATCAAAAACTATACCCTTCAAACTCATAAAGCTCAATAGGTTTCTCTGGCCTGGCCCCCGGTTTCCCTGTCTCCACCAACTTCCAACCTGCACCAAAAACAAACTCATATGGGGTATTAGCATAAGCGAAGTAAAGCCTCACATACTCGTCTCTAAATGCCGAACTGACTTTATAGATAATGGAATGCACTCATATATAATCTATGATAATCTGAGTAAGAAATCAGTGGCGTATCGCCACATGTAATTATTATTACGTCGACAACCAAGTAAAAGGTAGAAAACGAAGCATATTGCGTGCGTCTTGTATTTAACTGGTCAACTCAAATACCCTCAAATAGACCCAATTTTGAAAAACATGTGTCAATAAGCTATGGTCATATAAATTATATTTTACTCTTCATCCTGTAAACGTAAACTGGGTCGTAGAACAACGAGAAAGGAGCAGTGCACCCACCAGCAATCTCAAAAAAAGAGTACTTCTCTGAGGGAAACTGGTTTGCAGATACAAACCCAACTTTATATCTGTCCAACAGAAATATGCCAATGTGTCAATGCAGACTCAAGGAGTACAACCTGAGTTAATCAAGTCGGTTTTCCAATACACAATTGTAAGCATCAGCTTGAAGCAGCTCGGGACGTAAAGAAGTTTGAATTCTAATGTGAAGTGACGTGTTGTAACGTCGATTACCCGGAAGGCAACCTCATACGTTACAACCGATGGAGAACCAACCAGTGTTGACCGAAGGGAAAAAAGAAACGAAAACATTCTAACATGAAATTTTGCATTTTCCTGATCAAAGATGAACACAAACACGTCACACACTTCTGATGGCTACTTCGGACTTCGTTAAGACGTTCGAGCAACAAGTGTAATCAAAATTCACACTGTTCTGCTTGTTGGGTGTAAGAGATTCAGCTTCGTGATATCATTGAACAATATCAAAGTAACAGTTCTGCACTTGTAGAATTGGTCGCCCACAAACCAAGACCAAGGTGCATGATTGTACCAAAAATTAACTTCCTGTCAACCATGTACATTACACAGAATGCGCAACGGCGGAGACGACGAGCGCATCAACGATGACGGACAAGTGCAGAGGAAACGTCCACACCTAACAAAGCTGCATTATTTCTACGGGATAACTACGAGTTCTATACGAGAATTGATATTTGACCTTTCATGCACATGATGTCTGATCCAAGTTAAAATGTTAATATATTTCGAGACAGCATTGCTCCTGAAAATATTCTTAATTCAGAATAGCTCACCCGTTGACAAAGGCACCGGTTCCAAGTCGAAGAGGCAAACCGATGGATCCACCGAGAATGTTCAACCACTGATCTGATCTTACGAAGAAACGCCTTGGTTCTTTCGAAATTCGAGCTGGAATTGTAGCAGGTTCATTCGGACTCACATCCGTTTTCTCCACCGTACCGGAAGCGTCCTTGGACTCCGCCCGCACACACAAAAATCGTCGTCCTGTTGCCGAAACATTCTGGAATGAACTTGGCATCCGAAGCAGCATGGTGCGATGGAGTTGTCGAGTGGAATTGGGCATGGATGTCGCGGCACCCAACGACAATCCTGCTCCCAGCTTGGCCATGTCAACCATGGCGAGCTTATCCTCAAATTGGCCCTGTTTCACCTGGAAGTATAATCCTCACGGTAGTGCCACATAGAAATGAAAACGCTCTTGTGGTTTGAAAACGTTAGATATACTGTATCCAGGGTATAACTATTAGACATATATTCGTATACATACTGATACAGTATTCCTGTATGGTACGATGTCAGTCCTGATACTCGAAGCTCTCCCTAAGCGGGGATTGAAGGTAACCGCTACCGTAATATCTAGACAGTAAAGTCTAGATATTACAAGATTATCTCGAGAAACCATTCCTCACCTCGCGCTATTCTTGTCCTTTCAGTTTTAGAAGTCTATGGATTCACTTCACCAAACCATGTAACACTACATGTAAAAATATACCAATATTTTCTACTAAATGATAATGTATGTCAAAGTCTCTAATTGTCTCTTGGATATATATTTTAAGTTATGGATTGAATTATAACATCTATGTACAACTTACATAATATACTATGTTGCAAGGACTTTGTATGACTATATCTAAACAATTGCAAGTGGATGTAATGCATATTATAAAAAATTAAATACTATCTGGGGTTGCTGATATAATGATCATAATCTATATGTTGTCTTCTCAACTTGTGATTTTATACATGCATGTATTTTTGGTGTTTATAAGTAATCTATAATGATTTCCTTTATAATGGCCCTTTCAAAATATTTTGTACTTTTCAATCATGGAGATATAAATGTAATGATTTTTACATTACTTCTTAATAAATTTTCCATTCGTCATAAAATTATGTTCATTCAGCATTATTCTTTTCCTATCAAATGTATAATTATGGACTTTTAATGAATTGTTTCATTGTTTACACAACTATGTATTTTCTACATTCTTGTTTCATTTATAAATATAAATATTAGTTTGATCATATATCAAAGCTAACTTTTTTTAATCCAATTGGTAGATCATTTCTTATCAATGTATGATAGTGGAGTACAAATGAATATTTTTATTGCATCCACATCTATGTATTTATTACATTGTTGTTCATCACTTTTCATTTTCACACTTTTGTTTTAAAAATGATCAAAAATTTTAGTTTATGTTGAGTATTCTCACAAAACAACAAACACACATTGAAAAATGCAAACAAAAAATGCCAATATGAGCATACATTAACAATATATGACGATACACAACGCGTGCTATCGCCATTGGTCACTACACCTATTGCATGGGAGTATTCCCGAGAGTGTGTGTGCGTGTTCGATCTTTTTGGTGAAATCATCACAAGCTTGGCTGCAGTGTTGTAGTAAAGTATTCTCGTACGCAAATACTTGTATAAGGAGAAAGATGAGATTGCACGTCGAGTTTCCACACTACATGTTATACAATTGATGCATCGTTATACTTCTTTGTTGTCGCAATCTACTGTCCGAGTATAGCAGAAGGCGTTGTCTTCAAACATTTCATTGTTGGGAGCGCTAGACTTTAATCGGGTTGGCCACATTGATATGATGATAGCAGGGTGGCCATGTCCGGATCACACACGTGCAAGTCATGGAGCAAGGCTGCAAGATTCTAGATCTCGTATGTTTTGGGAGATGTTACGTGTGTTAAGTTATCTCCAGATTTATCAGACACGTCCTACAACGTACATTCTAGAGAACGTTTCATTTTTGAGTGACACTCAGACACATTTGATGGCAAGTGTACATGAGGTACGGTCGTGGATTGGACCAACTATTTTGCTTGATGCAGCAAGAGTTGGTTCACGTGCACATCGATCACATTTGTGGTGGACAAACTTGTTGTCAAGGGAAATCTTGCGGCGAGCATATGACTTTGTGCGACGCGATCATATTCTTATAGTGGATAACATTTTAGATGTTGAGCGACGTTCAGAGTTGATGAAGGGTTGTTGATTGATCGCATATGGCAGTGGTGAACCAAGTGGGATAGCCTCGGATGGCTTTACCCACGTTTGTGAGTTTTTTTGCATCACATGCTTATAAGGATGGTGGTCCCAGGCTTGTATGGGATACTCGAATGCAGCAGTTGATGAAACCCAACGCCAATGAGCGCAAGCGCGCCATGGAGTTTTCTACCGACACAACAAAGACTCCTTCAGGTTCCGAGGCGTCACGTCGTCAGGTTCTGGACCAGGCTATGGATTTGAATTGTCTTACATGGATTGTGAGCCTGGATTTGGCTGAACAACGACGTCTTCGCTTAGATTTGGTGGTTTCTACATAACTGGTTAGCTCATTGTCTATGGGGATGGTAGAGACAATGGCTGGGGACGACAGACGAGATATTCGTCATCCTTGGAGTTCTTTGGACGTGACGAGAGGGCATGTTAGAGTTGCAGTCCAGACAGTTGGAGTAGTTTTTCAAGTGAAGGTTGGTCCAAAGGAGGGTACGGAGAACCATACCGATTCTTTGGAGGAGGGTGCGTAGCAACCAATGAGAGAGTCGTCTCCCTCTAGTGTGCCTATAGAGAAGGATTGTGAGCCACTGATTGGTCCTCAGATAACAGGAGGAGAGAGACGACAGTTGACACAATTCCTATGTGCCTATAGGAATTGTTTTGCATTCGACATAAAGGAGTTAGGTTTTTTGATTGGATTAGACATAAGGATAAAGTTGGCTAGTGATACGCCAATCTTTTGTCGTCCCTATCGGTATAATGATTCGGAGTATGACTTTAAACCTACTTGAGGCTAGGTTAGTGAAGTTGTCACATGATGAGTATGCGTCAGCCACAGTCATGCCAGTGAAAAAGGATGTACATGGCAATTACAAAGATATGTGAATGTGTGGAGATTATTGTCCTATCAATCGGTAGACGAAGTCTGATAAGTATGTCATGCCTATACTTAAGAAGATCTTTGATGTGATGGGATATGCAAAGATTTTCAACACTTTGGATCTTCGGAGAGAATATCATCAGTTGCCAATTCGAGAGGAGGACAAGGCCAAGACAGCGTTTTGGAACGTCAATTCTCACGGCAACGATTGTTTGTACCAATGGCGATCTTATCCTTTGGGTTGAAGGATGCCCATGCCGAGTTTCAGAGGGTTATGGACAAAATCCTAGCAGGGCTGGATTTTGTCAGATGTTAGATTGATGATATCTTGGTGTTTAGCTACACGGTGGAGCAACATCAGATACATTTGTAGATTGTGTTTGAGAGATAGAAGGCTCATGGTCTGCGATTACATCATGGAAAGTGTAAGTTCTTTCAATAGAACGTTGAGTAATTGAGTCATGTGATCTATCTAGGTGGTTTGGGAGTTCAGCAAGTAAAGCTGAAGGCTATTGCACAAATCCCTCGTCCAACGGATGTGAGTAGACTTCGTGCATTCATGGGTTTGACGAACTACTACCGGAGATATGTAAAAGCATTTAGCGCTATAGCCAAACGTTTGAATAAGTTGTTGAAGTCAGATCAGGAGTGGCAATGGAAAGATGAACAGTAGAGAACTTTTGTTGAGCTCAAGGCCAGGTTTGTGGCCACTCCCATCTTGAGGAGACCCATCAGAGGTCGTCCATACCAGTTGCAAACTTATTGGAGTATGTTGGGACTTGGAGCGGTGTTGACGTAGCGTGATGATGAGGGCAAGGAATTTGTGATTGCGTATGCTAGTTGTTTGAACAATACAGCGGAGTCACGATATAGTTCGTACGAGGAAGAATGTTTGGCAGCAGTGTCGATTGTGGCACACTTCAGGTGTTACTTGTTTGGTACGCAGTTTACCCTTGTCACTGATCATCAGCCGATCAAGTCCTTAATGGAGTCTAACAAGCTCACAAGGAAGCTTGCACAATGGGCTCTCATCTTCCAAGAGTATAACTCCCAAGTGATGCATAGAACGGGATTTGCAAACTTGGATGTCGATATTTTGAGTTGGAATTTATGCACTAGTCAGGAGTATGACATTGGAGCTAGATGGCATGGTGAGACTAATGAGGAGATGGTGTCCATTTAACATGCAATTGCCTTCATGTGTTTGTTGCGTGGAGACTCTAGTAGGGAGGATCACTTGACATCTTGCTCTGGTCAAAAGAGTAGATGGTCAATCTTCAGATCTTGAGATTGAAGATGGTGCTACGAATCAACATGATATTCACGATGATGCCTTAGCATTGGAGTTTCTAAGGACTAGTATGGTCCAAGCACAATGGGTGTCAAGGAGCGAGATCGTGTTCTCCAACGAACAAAGAGATACCGATTAGAGGAAGCACATGTTCTCCGAGTGTGAGAGGACGGTAGTGTACGAGTATTATCACATCCATTTCAGAGAGCGCGCATCGTGCGACATCCACATGAGGAGTTGGGACATTTTGGAGTGAAGCGTACATATAGCTTACTACTTAATCACTATTGGTGGCGTGGTATGCATACTCATGTACAACAATTTGTATAACGTTGCATGGTTTGTGATCGGATGAGCGCATCGTTAATGTCCCGACACCAGAGTTACATCCATTACCCATCATGGGATTGGATTACCGTAGGAGTTTGGACTTTGCTGGACCATTACCTTTGATTGCACGACATCATCGGTATGTGTTGATCATGGTAGAGCATTTCTCCAAGTGAATTGAGTTGGTGGCATGACTTGACAAGGCGAGTGAGAGAACAACATATGTCTTCCTTGAAAGGATGCTTAGTCATATTAATGCACTAGCTTAGGTGTTGACCGATTAAGGTACATAGTTTCATGGTGAGTTTCTGGTGTTGTGCGAGAAGGCGTTGATTGATCATCAAACCATGTCTCGAGATCATCTAGAGGCAGATGGTTTGGCTGAACGTGTTGTACAAACGTGTTGTGAAGAAGGAGTTGTGCAAATATGGATTATAGAAGGAGCATCTTGGGGACTGAGATATTCAGTTATCAAGTTGGCCATGGAATATCGGAACAGTCGTCAAGCATCCTTGGCTTTCTTCTCACCATATATTCTGTTCTACGGCCAAGATCCAGACCTGCCTACATCGATTCGTCGTGAGTCTAGCGAGGTGATGAACCTAGATGATCCGAACATGTGGATGAGAGTATGTTCCCAACGTGTAGAGCTTTTTCAGAGAGTA